ATTATTTAGTCTCTGGCCGTCTGCTTTTTACATAAGAAAAAAGTTAAAATCTAAAAATCTGGGTCGCTATAGTTTGTGCTGATTATTTTTAATAATTTTAAATAGAAATTATAAAGATAATTGATAATAATCAAGTAATACGCGTAATAAAAAGCATGAACTACTATTATAAAATATCATATAAAAAAAAAATCAAATTAAATTTGAAAAAAAATTTGTAACCTCAAAAAACCGTTCTGCTTACGGTATATACACACTCGGTAGTCTGGCTTGAGAACGGAACTTGGCGCCAGATTCTACCGAATCTGTTGATTAATTGTATAAATTTTGTATGTTTCCACGGACGCCTGAGGAAGGAGTAATAAATTCCGAAACGTTGCGTAAAATAAAAATCTCTTATTAACTTATTTCATGATCCTTAATCCTCGGATTACAACACATTAATTTAATTCAATGTCAGGATCGGAATATCTCTTATTATGATGAAAAAAATGAAACAAAATCAAAACCAAAAAATTTGATAAAAAAACCTTTAAAATATAAAAATGATTATTGCCATTGTCTTTATTGCTATGGACTTTCCTCAGAGTCATGGATTCAATGTAAAAATTTTAATAAATGATCTTATGGTTCTTGCGCAGGTATTGGCGAAGATTATTCTGACGAATATGTCTGTGATCATTACGAATAATCGTATGTTCATTAAATTATCTCGATGTGATTTCCTAATCTCGTCGAACATTTATATTTCATGTTTTATTCAAAGTTTAATTTTTGTTAACGTCTTAAAAACTTATTACAAATTTCATTGTTAAGCTGTTATTATTGTTAATTAGTTTTAAATAGATAATAATTAAAAATATAATTAATTTCTTTTATTGCAATCGGAGGCTTTAAACCTACGTACAAGAAAAAATATAGAAATGTTATTGAGCAATGAATTGGTTACATTAGTTTACATTGAAATCACAGGTTGAGTTTTCAAATAGAGCTTTCAAAATACGTAATATCTTGAACCAGACCTTTTTTTTTATATTTTTATCAAGTCAAGATTAGAAATATGAATTGCGTAAAGTAAGACATCCTTGGAGGAATTCAAATAAATTTTTGAGATTAGGTTTCTGTCTGGTGCAGAGGATACTGTAATCAATAGTTAATAATATAATTATTACCGTTTTAATTTTAAAGAACTGTGTTTTCAATTTTTTTATAAGCTATATTATTTTTTATTAGCTATATAATTCAACTTTTCATTAAATTTTTCAGTTTAATTAAATTCATTCTGTTTCATTGACCTGAAAAGGTCTAAAATAATGAATTCTTTAAATTTGTCATTTTTTTTCGAATGATCCATTATGCCCCACGTATCACATATTAGCCCGAAATATCATAAAAACCTCATAGAGGTCATAACTTGACAGAAAATGGAAAAAAAAAATTTTACCTAATTTATGAGAGGGGCCGTTATGCCGGGAACCGTCGTGTACCACTCTCTCCTGCATGATTCAATTTTTTGTAAAATTTTTCAGTTCAATTAAATTTTTTCTAATTCATTTTACCACAAATTTATCACAATTAAAAAAAAAAAATTATTTTTTGTTACAATTTTTTTTTCGAGTGGTCCATTATGCCCCACATATTACATATTGGCCCAAAATATCATAAAAACATTATAGAAGTCATAACATGACGGAAATTGAAAAAAAAAATTTTTACCTAATTTTTGAGGGGGGCCGTCGTGCCCCGGGGGGGCCTTCATGCCCCAGGTTCCCCTATAAACTCAAAGATTTTTTATTGAGCTTAAAAAACTGCTTCGAATGCCACCAACCGCGTGAAAATCGGTTCATTCATTCAAAAGTTATTGCGATTTGAAAATTAAAAAAATAGTGTTTTATCAAACTTTTGAGCTCGAAGAGCTCAAAAGCATACAAAAGCTATTTTTTTGAGCTCGGAGAGCTCAAAATAATACACAAATTGTATTTATGAGCTCGAAGAGCTCGAAAACGTCATAAGTGCAATTTCAAGCGTTTAGGTATAGAATTGGCGGGAAGGCAGGGATGGCCTTCAGGGTCAATATTCCTAATTTTTTTTTGTTGTTAATAAGCTCATTTTTTAAATCTATTTTTATATGATTTAACTGACCATAGTTTTATAATAAAATATTTTAAACTAACACAATCATTTTATTAATTATAGCAGTTCGTTCTGAAGTCACTAGACGGTTTTAAAAGCTCATTTGGGTTGTACGATAAACGATAAAGTACTGTACGTGTCTCAATCACATACAGCAATATACATGGTGAAATGTGCGATTTTAAATATACTGTCAGCATGATGCTTGAAATTTTTTTTAGCAGATGGCATCATAGTCATCTTTCTCGGTCCCTATTTCTTAGTCTTTTCGAAAAATTCCACTAGGGGCCTCATTTATGTGCCTGAACTCACTTGTTATTAAAATTAGTACAGTAAGCATACAGTATACAGATTATACAGATTCAGATCAGACATTAATAGCCTGGCAAGCCTGGCCCCATATTTTCATCAATTAGTAGGAAACCTAAAGTGCCTTCTCTTTTTGTTACATACATAAGGTTCTATTTTCAAGTAAATTTTTAAAATGACACTCACAAGTATTTGAGCGTAAAAAAAAACTATTTGTCCAATTATCACCTTTTCTCTACAAGTTGTCATTCTAGAAAGTCAATAAACGGCTGTAAACTAAAATGCTCAACGTAAAAATAATATTAAAACCATGTTTGTTTTTAAGTGAAGTATTTATTTAAATATGGAAGCATTAAAGTATCCTGTAATACTACACATTTATAAATATTTATTACGATGTATTTTTGCGATATCGTAAACAATATTCTTTACAATCATTCGCAATATTTTTATGTATGTTATAGCGTTTTAAAAGTTAAGAAAAATAAATAATATTTTAAAAAAATAGGGCACAAGTGCAATCGTTAAAAATGGATGAACTTCCAAAAAGCTTTATTAGTGCTATGCGAATATTATTTGGGATTATGGACCATGAAAACACTGGATTTATCAAATATGTAGACATCGAAAAACGATGGCAACATGATGGGACGCAAGAATTACCTAAGGATGTGCTTGAAAACTTGAAAAAGTTCACTTCACCCGATGGATTATTAACATTCGAACGCTTTTGCTCTGGTTTAAAAATATGTTTGCAACAAAAGCAAAACGGTATTGAGTCTGTAAATAATCAAGGTCAATTTATAGCACCTCTTTCGGTGTCAAATTCAAAAATAAATAATCCTATAAAAAATTTAGTGACATCTTCAAATACAGCCACCATACGACCCAACAATGCTATATTACAGCAACGTACATTTAGCATGCCTCAATTATCGGAACCACGTAAAGATCCACGAAATGTTTTGTTAGATATGTCTAAAGGAAGATCAACTACTGATATAAAAACTGTCAAAATATTTGGTCCTCCAAAACCTCCGAGAACTGGTGCTGCTACTGAAGGCCGTATATTTAACACTGATCGTAATTTTGACAAATTAGAAATAAGAACAACGTTACATAATTGGCAGGTTGGACTGATGTTAAACGAAGAAAAATGTCCTCAAAAAAAACAAGCATCAAATACAAACTATAATGTTGACGCCAGAAGTTTATCAAAGTCTCAAAAAAATATAAGAGATACAAAATTGATAGAAACGCAATCTAATCATTTTGGAATTGCTCAAAAAAAAAGTATCTCCAGGAAAAAAGAGTCTAGAAGGCATACTTTGCAAAATGGCGTTGATTATAATATGGTATAAATAAACACTTTTATTAAATCATTAACTATTCAAATTACTATCTAACAAATTAATAAAATGAATCACTTTTAATTTTAATTTATTTTCATATATTACAACTAATTTGTATCATAATTTCAATTTTAGATGAAAAGAATAAAACAGATTGAAGAAGAAAAAGATATGTTGCTTCAAGGTTTTGGAGCTATTGATAAAGCTAGAGATTGGTACTTACAACAAATTTCCACAACTCAAGACAAAATAAAGCATCTTGGCGAAATGGCTTCTTATGTGGTAAAAATGAAGAAAGTACGCTTTGAAAGTAATAAGTAGTGAATAAAATAATTTTTACTTCATACAGGAACAATGGACTGAAGCTCAACAGGAACGTTTAGAACTACAACGTGCACGTATTCTTGAAGTAAATCGTCATTTAGCAGCTCTTATAAATAGTTGGGAAAGAGGTGGTCTTCCTCTCCACATGAATTTAGCATTTTTGAATAGATCTTCGCCACAACTAAATCAAGATATACTATCACGATTAAAGCATCAAAACTGCAGATTAACTGAGGTAAGAAAAAAAAATTATTTGGTCACCGAACTAAAAGGTAAATTTCATAATATTAATTAGTTTTTTTTTTATAAGTAAATTTATTTATATATTTGTATTGAATTACTTAAAATTCATAGGTTTTAATGGGTTGGAATTTTTTAAAAATCACAACTTCCAAAGTAATCAAGCGATTTTATCGTTACTCGTTAAAAATTATATGCTATCATTTAGTGGCTATTGCTAGCTGAATATTAAATGAAATTTTAATTTCTGAATTTATTTGATTGTTATGTTTATTTTGAATTCTAGAAAAAATAAATCCTGAAATAATAGATCAGGATAATAGTGTTGTAAATAAAAATAGAGAAGATAATCTATTTTAGGTATCTTTTTTTTTTTTTTCTCTGTTGTCAGGAAAGTAGTGTTCGGAATAATATTGGTGGATCTATCTTTTCCGATTATACCGTACATGTTAGAGTTAGATCAAAATAATTCAAAAGATAAGTTTTCGAATTGATAAAGTTTTAAAATGATAAATGATATTATGAACTATTGTCCACAAAATTTAAGTTATTGGAGTAGCTTTTAAACTCAATAAAATTGATAAACTTAATAATAGACTTTTAGTGCTTGAAAACATATCATTCATACATTTTTAAACAAAAACAAAAATAATACACCATTGAACGCAGTGTTTCATCGGTCTTAGAAATTTGAATGCTTGAATTAATCTCTAAGTTTTTCAATCAATAAAATTCTTGAGATTGATAAAACTTACAAAAACATATTATGATGCAATGTCATTATGATGTTCTCATCATGAGAACAAATACAATTTTATGAAATCTGCCCAAAAATATCCTATTAATTTACATTTTTAAATGTTTTTATTTTATTTTATAATAGGAAGTAAATAAGCAAAACTATAAAATTAGTCTGCTTGAACAAGAGAAAGATTCTCTCATGCGAGAATTATACAATCATCAATCAGGTATAATTCAATCACGACGATCAACTACAATTCATGAGCAGCATGATCAGACATTTATGTAAGTATTAATTACATATTATGTTCAATAAACGGAAGATTATTTAATTTTTACCTATTCAATTTTCAGCATATGATTATTAGTAAAAGGCAATGAGCTCTTTTGATAAAATCGAAATATGAAAAGTTGTCATTTTGCTGTAAACAAGAAAATTTATCTTTTATACTGAATCAATGAACTTTATTTTTTGTAACTTCATGTAAATCTGATTTCATTAACCTATGTATACCTTGTGTAATTTTCGTCTACTGAATATAAAACTAGTGTTTTAGCAATTCAATGCCCAAGTTATTTATGAAATTTTTAAGATAAATTTCATATTAATTGCATAAGAATGAAAATGAAATTTTTTTTTACGCCAAATTGTAAACGAAACAGAAGTTTTTTATCATCTCAAAATAGTTATAAAATTTTTTGTGTTTTTCGATTGCATCGTGAGTGATCTCCAAAAAAATTCTTTATCTCTAGATATAAAAATTACACAGAAAAAAAACTTAGCTGATTCGAGAAAAACATTTTCTTAATGAAAAATTGTTTTTTGTTTTTTAATTATATATAAAAGTGAGCTTCCACCTATTTTACCCCTTAATTTAAAAAATCGAAAAATGAAGATATTCACAGTTTTTAATTTTTTGTGTTTTATTCTTTGGCGGATAGAAAATAAAAAAATTTGGAAAATCCAAAAGTGCACGCCTCATAACGCTCATTCATTTTTTAAGAAAAAAATTAATTGTGTAATTGATTAAAAAAAAAAAATTATAATTAAGTAATTTCTTACAGAGTACTTTTTATTGTTTTTTTTAAATATCGGCGCCCTTTTTTCTTGTCATATGCGCGCGCAGTCTAAAAAAATCTAGCTTGATCAACTGACGTCATAGTTTTCACGTGATAAATAAGAAAAGTTCGTTTGGCTTTGTACGGTTGTATCGTAGTGAATTTTAATAAAAATTCAATTAAAAAAAAAAATACGTAAACTAGGCTACTGATATGAAATACGGACCCAGTTCATCGAATTCTTAAACTAATAAAAAAGGTCTGGTCTTGAAATATCAATTTGTTTGGGAGTAATCGTTGGTACATCCAAAATGGGGTGACATCCGGACATCCACGTAAAATTTTTTTCAAAATAGCAACATGAAATGATTTTAGAAAGTAAAAGATGGTTTAATGGCTTGGCCTTGACGAGTCGAGTATATAAATATAAATAAGTAAAAAGCACAACCTCACGCGCTTTGCGCTATAAGGCGTGCAATTCCTACAGCTTTATTCCTACAATCGAATTTTAAGGAGATTTTTAGGTTCGAGAAATCCTTGAATATAAATTTCGACTTATAATTAACGATTTAGAAATGATACATTAAATTTCGAGCATTAATAAATTTTTTTCATGTTGTGCATTGAATGTAGAACTTTGAACTTATAACTTATATCTTATATTCGGTAGTTTTCCAATTACGAGAGCACAATGCGACTCATTGCCGCACGGTGCCGCATTAGCACAAGTTTAATTGAAACAGATTAGTTAAGAAATGCAGCAGTAGATCGCGTTGGTATTGCTTCGTTTTGAACTATAATTCGAAAGTTTGGCAATCTAAAAATCTAAATATTTGTTTACCTGTATATTTAAATCTTTAAAATCTTTGAAAACATTCATGTTAAACAGCTAATTCAAAATCATATCATGACAATGCTTACAAATATAAAAATCTAAAAAATGATTTCATTTTATAAAGATAAAAGAATAGAAAGAATATAAATTCGCTTAAGTTAGTCATCAATAATTAAATATTAGATATAAAAATATGATAGTTAAATATAATTTGTGTTATTGTATATATTTAATTTTATTGCAATAATAATTATTTATCAACAATAATAAAATACACTTACAATTGTCAAAAATAATAACTTTGATAGATAATAAGATAAACATTAATTATACCAACTCAATTCAAAAAAATACTTTTAATTTTATGTAGACTCGTTGGTAACTCTCACGCATAACATCCCTGAGCAAAGGTTTTTTGAGTGTCCAACTGTGCGAAGCGTTGCTGTTATTGGAACACTCTAAGCTGCGCACAATGCCGCATTATGCGCTCTAGTGCTGTAGTTGGAAAACTACCATCATAATTATATTCTGGAGCTACATACAACCCGTGTCTTTACCTTCTCAGCAAAATGAATTTAAATTCATCAATATGAACCGCCAAGTTTAGAATCGATCCACTTATTTTACGATATGGAGGGTAGAAGTAAATTATTCCACGTGCTACTATAGCGCCACCTTAATATGCTGACTTTCGACGGACACTTTTTAATTATACACTGAGATGGTCCTTCTCACTTCTACCCTCCATATTTTACGAGTGTCAATATTTTTAATAGCCTTATTCTAAATATATTTTATTTTATTTTAAATTTAAGTTGACATAATTTTTTTTTTCAATTCGGTTATTTTCAGATTAGCGTTATATTCTTTTAATGTCAACTTTTTTAAGTTACATATTGTAAAAATTACTTTATTTAAGAATTTTTTTTTACATATGCATATTTTCTTTGTCATATTTTACTAAAAGCATCTACTATTTTTGATATTATTTTTATTTTTCTCATTTTTATGATGTTATTTACATGAAGTTTATTTTACAAAACGGCAATATTTAGTATTTTTCAAATTTAGAGTTTAAAAACCACCGAATTTACAGATAACGATTCATCCCTAAACTTGAAAACCTACTGCAATTGCTTCATTATGCATGTTATTTGATAACAATTAATTTAAAAACAATGTTGATTGAAGTTCTTTTAAACGAAGAATTTTATTCCTACACAATTAAGAAAAAAAAATAAAATAGATATTTAATATATTCATGATAAAAAATACAAAAATACAAATTGAAAAAACACTGAAAAATTTACTTTCATTTTAACTGCCAAGTGACCATTTTAAAAAGACTATTATTTTAAATATTTTTTGTTAATTTATTTCGAATAATAAAATATACAGAGGTAAAATTAATTTAAGAGCGTTTACCCGAGGCGCGTTTTGCAGGTAGAAATTTTTCTTTTAAATTTCAAAATAATTGATCTATTTACATAGTACAATACTAACAAAAAAAAATCTATTACACGGAAAAACTTTCCCCACAGCCGCAAGTACCCTTAATGTTCGGGTTGTTAAATACGAACTCGGAACTTAATTTGCCTTCTATGTAATCCATTTCCGTCCCTAAAAGGGTAAGTTGTGCCTTTCTATCAATAATTACTCTTACTCCATCTTGTATAACTTCCTCATCTAATTTACTCTTTTCAGTTGCGTAATCCAAAACGTAGCTTAGCCCATTGCAGCCTCTTTGACGAACACTGACTTTTAAACCAATCTAGAAAAGATCCGAAATTTAATATTAGAACTAAATACAATGATCTGACTAATGTCAGTTCATCAATAGTTGATATACTCAATTATAGTTTTTACAAAGATAAATAATGACCATGAAGATAATTGTTTAGTATCACGGTTGTCTGGTTTGTTGGACAAGTGTAGAAAAAAAAATTGTTTTCTAGAAAAACCATGAAAGGTTCTTGTGCAGAATTTATTGTAGTTTCTGAAACGATCTTCTAAGTTTTTTTTTTGCGATTATTGTTCGTTGTGATAATCATGTTCCGGTATTTTATCGTTGGGTCGATTGTTACGCAGCTCTTAAAAACAAATATTTTGACAAGAAAATAATATATGATTTGGCTTTTTTTAGCAAAGCTATATGATCGTTTTTGATCAGGCAAATAAAGAGTCATACTGTATAAGTACTTAGTTTAAAAAATTTGTGATTTTACATTGGATTCTGACGCAAAAATTACTAATGAATAATTTTGTGTTCGAAAAGAGTGATATAAGAAATATTTCAAAAATTAATAATAATTAATAATAAATACGTAGAAACAACTAAATAAATAAGCTAGGTTATTAATGATTATACTCACACAATCTGTTTTGTTATGCAAAATTTTTCTTATTTTTTCAACAGCTTTTTGAGTCTAGAAACAAAAGTTGTTTGGTAATAAACAAAAAAAAATCTATAATAAAGTAAAAATTTAATAAATCTATAAACCTATCATATTTATTCTTACAAGTACGAGAGCAGCACGAGTTGGTAAACCTTTACTTTCTTTGACAGCTCGAACGGTAGCAGAAGCGGTAATACGTGATGCCATTTTATATAATTTTAGAAAATACTGTAAAAAAAAATCATTGAGTTATTAAAATTCTAAGTCATTTAAAAAATAATCATGAAATAATTTGGTAAGTGATTTAACGTTATATCACAATCTAAATGTTTTTGAACACTGCTAGTAAACGTTAAAAAACTTTGAGTACTTCATAATAATTTATTACTGCAATCGTTAAAAAACTTTATTCAAAAAAATAAATCTGATTCAATTTTATTACAAAATAAATGACAATACGATAAAAATTCTATGAGAGAAAAGAGTAATAAATTTTACCTCTGAGAATCGATGGTAAATATCCGCTTAACTTCATATACCCATTGTATTCATCGCTAATATTACGCAGGATTTTAATATAACTTGTTGCCTAATGATTATTTCACAAAACAAATTAATAATTTGTAATTAAATGTTGTACATATTATTATGAAATAAAATATATAAACTGTATCATTTTTTAGCCTGTTAAGGCTAACCTGTATGTATGTATGTCAAAAAGCATTGAACTAAGGTAGCGCTACTGTAGTAAGTATGTTTATGTTATGTTGTGAATCCGAAAGGATTGATCACAACGCTCTCTGTATATTAACATAGAATTACGTATAAAAAGATGGCTGCAATGAATGATAGCGGGAAAAACCCAGTAAGATTTAAAATATATGTATTTATTTGTAATAATATTAGTAAAGAGAAATAAGAATCTTTCAAATATCGTAAACCTTTCTATTTTAAATTCTATTGTTAAGTATGGGAATTTTTCTATCATAAATTTTAGGGTCTAAGTGAATTCATAATCACCGAAGATTCCCGAGAAAAAAAAAAAACCTACAAAACTTTTAGTACCGATTTGTAGTCTAGACATACCGAAAAATTAAAATTACTTTGTTAAAATAAGTTTACATTAAGTATAATGGTCACTTAGAATAAAATACTGAACGTTTTGGAATATTCTTTACAAAACTGGAAACCCAGAGATCTTTATTTATAAATTTTATTGCCATAATCTCTTAAGAGGCTTATCTTCCAAAACGTTCATTTAAAAAGGGATTACTCGAGTACCCAAGGCTAGGTCATAAAAACCAGATATCCAGGCGGGCTGCAAATGACCTGGAAACATCGAGGGTCATCGTGACGTCATTTCAACATGGTCCCATTTTGCCAACTCGAGAAGGGATGCTAGCCGAAGATGAGAGCTG